TGTGAATATCTAAACGAAACACGTTTATTCTTTACAAATGCATCATGAATTTTCGAGAATAGCAACATTAGAGAGAATTTGTATAGAAATTCGAATATATAATTCAAACAAGACGCTTTCTGAGAAGAATAAAGATGTAAAGATTACCAAACCTTTGCTGGATTTATTACAGATGCAAAACACATTCAAAAACATTGAAAAGAATAGAAAATATAACAATATCTCAATTGTTTTCTTTGTTATAAATAACCAAAATTGTGATTTAGTAAGACTTCTATCGATGGTAAGAAGTACCATATTTTTAAGGATAATTTTGTATTAGAATTATTAAATATTCTTAATTAATTAAGATCGAAACGTAATTAAATATCCTTCAGTTACAATAGAATATTTGGCATAGATTAAACTGTAAGATTAAATGTTATTATCGTTTAATTATACTAATTATAATGAACTTCTATGAGTTATAATTTAATTATAAAATAAATTTATTTTAAAAAGTTCTATTAATAAAATAAATCAATAGTAAATAAAATAGTATACTTAATGAAATATTTCATTTTAAATTAATTAATTAATTAAGGAAAAAAATAATAAATTTTAATTAATTATACTAAGAAAAAAGATATTTAAATTAGTTATAATATTCCATTATAATACTTTATTATTGTAATATTGTAAATAGAATTTTTATTAAAATATTATCTAAAGAGAAAAATTCTTAAATTTTATAAATAAATTACAAACAATTTAATAAATATATTTAATTATCATCCTTAAAACATTTACACAGTTATATATGTTATTCAAATATGAAATAATGATGTTTAAAACTATGTTTTGAGGCGGATATAAATTATAATTTCGTAGTACAGTACATAATTTACATTATCCATAATTAAAATTTACAGCAAATTATGCTTAGTATAAATTATTATAATTTACAAATATAGTCTTTAAAAAGTGAGTTTTATTTATCTCTAGAAGAATTGCTGAAAGATAATTCAAGCGCATTCGAATGTAGAACTTGAATACATCTAGAATAACTGGAGTTTCATTCAAATTGACATTTCTCTATTTTCCGAAGCTTATGAAAGTGTTTCTGTTATCGAAACTTTATCGATTTTTCTACAACAAAAACTGAATTTTCTAAATGATTATTGTCAGGGGCGTGAATTAAAAATCAATAAAGTAAAAGCCAAATCGAAGTGCCAAACAGATAAACTTTGTATAAACTTCCAGCAGAGAGATTTTCAGTTGTTTTTAACAGTGAAATATTTATAACTTTTTTCGATTTTCTAATGCTAAATCTAAGAAGAAAAACTTAATCGAATGATTTCTTTTAACCGAAATTAAATTATACGCATTTATCCATTGTTTATGTGTAATATAACAGTAAAAAAGTAATGATTTATTGTGTGTTAGATACATAAATGAGGTATTTAATTTTTATTTGGAAGATAATTAAAAAGAATTTTATGATCTGCAGCGAATTTCCGATTTCTTTATTATAAATTCATTATTCCTTTCTGCAAATTGCCCGTGTTTTCTCTTATCACTTCGCTTCGTTTAAATTATTATACATTTTTTTTATTGATTTAGATTCTCTAATGATAATTAGTAAATGGAATTGTATCGTTTAATTTATAATTAGTAACTTTGTTTCCAATAAAAATTTTATATTTACAATTTCTAATGTTTAATTTAATAAATAATAATTATTAAATCTAGAATAGTAAATTTGTTTAGAATTATTAAATAAATGCTGCTTAATGCAAGAAAATTGTGTATGAATATTATTTAAATTACCATTAATTTAAAATAAAACATTATTTAATACAATTAGAAGACTTAAATTTAATATTTAATCTAATTGTAAAGTAGAAAAAGTCATTTTTAACCTATTAAGAATGAGATAAACGGGGTAAAGATACAGTCGATACTGTGTATACGTGACTTTTTTTCTGTACTATATCGCTTAAAAAATCTCAAAATTTCAAGTTTACCTTCTGAATAAAGTCAAATATTTGTTAAAGAATAGTTTAGAAATATAAAAAACCAATTAAATATATTTATTTGTATTGTTTGTATGAGTGATGCTACGAAAAACTCGTTATAACCTTCTGTTTGCTTGAATAAAATAATAATCTGTGTCTTGTTTTATATTACATAACGCTTATAGATTATATTTTATTTATATTTTCCTTCGTACATAAAAAATATAAATTACAAGTGTTAATATATGGATACAAATATACAAAGTGTTAATATGATGGATGCAGTTTTAGGGCATCCATTAGGTGCTCCATTATGCTTTCAACAATACAGATACGTAGTTTATTGTAATAAATCATATTCTATCTTAATATTCAATAAATAATTTCACGTTCACATGAAAAGTAATATATGTTTTTTTTATATTTGCCCGTTTAAAGAAGTTTTTAATAATTAATTTATGTTTAATTAAGTTATTTTACATAGTAAAATTGAATATAAAATTAAATATAAACCCCGAAATATTTACTTATAGCTAAAATTATTTTTATATATTTAAATAATTTTTCCCAGAAATGAAAATAATATATGAGTGGTTTTTATTTTTCATTTTTTAAAAATAATTCTCCGAATTTAAGTGTGTGTAATTCTTTCTTTCAGATTTTATCAGGTTGCTTTAATTGATTTATTTTAAAAATAAATAATTTAAAATGAATTATTATTTAATAAAACGTTGATAAATTTAGATATAACAAAATTAAAAATTAAAATTAAAAAATAAAATAGATAAATAATGTTAAAAAATGACCTGGAGTCGTAAATTATCTTGTTTTTTTCCTGTAAACTTCCATTAAAATGGCATTGAAAAATTATAGAATTTCGTGAATAAATGTAAAAAATAATGAATAGAATTATAATAAAAAATTAAAATATTCGAGATAAAAATGAAAGTTAAATTTATAAAATTAATTTTTAAATATTTATAAATAATTAAACTAATTATAGCTGTACTAATATTAACGAATGGATAATAAATTAAGATATAAATTTAATAAAAAATAATTAAAGTGCCTTCATTTGATTTTAAAAAAAATTAATTAGAATAATTCTTACTTTAATGGCTTTATAAAACATTAAAATTTATTATTTTAACTTTTTTGCATTAAAAACATTTATATTTTCTTGATTTTTATTGTTATGTTAATAAATCTCTGTAATTATTATCTGTGAAATTTTCATTTTGTTGTAATTGAACATACTTAAAGATACTTAAATTCTACGAATTTACTATGAATTTAATGGTTTAGATTTAAATATTTTAAAAATTAATTTAAATATATGTAAATAAATGACGTTTGTTATGTTAAGATAAATTATTTTCAGGGGAATATTTTTTTAGACTTAAAAAAAATTCGCATATTATATGAAATATTATGAAGAATTTCTTCTTTTATTTCTAGCTTATCGTTTAATTTAATGCCTTTTTTATTATCAGGCTTTAAATTTTATGGAAATCGGCAATTTTTCATAAAAAATTAGACTTTCAAATATTCATTTATTGAATTTATTTAATGAATATTCGAGAAAAAATAACTATTCTCCACGTCAGAATTTATATTATAAATTAAACTAATAATGAAAAGTTAACGTAATTGATATAAACAATATAATAATTTTTAATTAATTAATTACTTTATTAAATGTTATAAATCAAGAAACTATATGTTATTAATAAAATAAGGTATATAAATGAATATTTAAATAATTTGATTTATTAAAGTTATATATTTTAGATATTTAATTACGAATAAATGTCTATACAGTATTAATTAAAATATACCTGTATTGTAATAATTATAAATTTTATAAGTAAAATTACATATAATTGGGTTAACTATAAATATTTTTATTAATTTAAATATATTTTAAGTATTTTAATTATTATTTTTTAAATTTAATCACTGTTTAAAGAAAATATGCTGGTGCGCCTTATATTCGATTTACGCGCAATCGCCCATGATCTGAGGTTGATTTTTAAAAGAAATTAAAGAATATGAAGCAATATATGAAGGAAAAGAAAGGTTCTATTGCACTACACTGGATAAATATTTCATAAAGTATGTAGTTGAGAGAACGACGAAATATACAATGGATCAAGCAAAGATCTCAAGATCCTTCTTACAGTTTTGGACTAAGTTTTACAAGGAATTAGCATATTTATAAACACTTTTCATGCAAAATTCAATGCTAGAGATTAGTTTTTGCGATTTAAATAATAATAATAAAAAAACTTTCTTTTATAAAAATTTCCATATAAAATTTCCAAGAAACAAAGTTATTTTTTTGTATATTTTCAATAATTTTAAAAGGAATAAGCGAAGAAGTAAAATTGGAAATGCAAGTTTATTTTATTACAATTAGAGACTTAAAAAGTTTCTTTTAAAATAATTACAATTAAAATATTCTAATTTTTCCCAATAAACGTTAAGCGGAGCGAATTAAAAGTTGGTTTTAAAATGATAAATCCTATAAAGTATGGAAATAATACTTTCAAAATATGTTTAAAGCTTAATTACAACGAATTCTCAGTTCTCGTAGGAATAATTACGTTGTTTACGCTGGTCTCATTAATATGCACGGACACGTAACATTGGAAAGACATATTAATATTAAACTTATGTATTAAACTTACTATTTATGTAAATAGTGTTTTGAAACATGATACGGAAACATATTTCATGTTTATTGGCGTTGTGTGCCAAATACTAGAACTTAACACATGACTAGGTAAGTACAGCTAATAGCAAATACTTCATTAAACTGTATCGATTGTTAATAATATAGTAAATAGCTTGCATCAATGAGAATCTAGCAATTATCGTTAAGAATTTATTAGTATGGTTAGATATTTAATTTTATACGAGTTGGCAACATTGTAGGGACTTAAAATATATATATATAGAATATGAGGTTTAAGATATATTTGAAATTTTTGCAAACATTACCTGATAGAGTCAATCTTCGGTAAGTGCGACCTGTTGAGAAGAGAGAGCCTCAGAGAAGGGATGCTGTGGCAGAAACGTGCAACACAACTTACTTTTATGCGTTTCAACAACGCGGGGACGAGAAGGGGCGAGATTGTCGAGAACGCTTACTTCTTATTGGCCAATAGCGAGTTTGCGTGGGCAAATAACGATGATGTCATCATCGGTACGTTGGCGGTAGGCAGCACATTGTAAGAAGATAAATGGATAAATGTGGATTTTTTTAAAAATATTTAAATATGCATAATAATTCTCGTTTATATGATGTATTTTTTTTAATATAATAATCGACCTAAAAATTAATAAATAATTTCATTGATTCATTTCATAACTTCTGGCTTATTGTATAACTAAGAAGTGTTGACTTAAATAGGTGCTGATACTCAATTTAATTAACATTAAATGTTTTAATTATCTTATGCATTACAAGTAATAATTCAAGGTAAATCACAATTTTAATTTTATAAATTTAGAAATAATAATTAAACGTAATTAACTGTAAATAAATAATAAGATTAAATTATTATAAATTAAAATTAATACCGGGACATTACATTAACCATAATTTAACTGTAGGTTTTTTTTTCATTAAGGTGAATGTTAATTAGATTAATTAGAATTATTTTAATAAATTTTATTTTAAATTAAAATTTTCTTTATAGAAATGTCTTATTATGTTTACTTTTTAAAATTTTAATTGATGTTTTCTTATACTTAAAACTTTCAAAGATAATTTCGATCCTAAATGGAAAAAACATCAGTTTATTTTTATGCATTTTAAATTTTCTGGGGGCGTTTTACAAAATATTAAGTTATATTAAAATATTTATAATAGAAATGTCATTAGAAAATCCTAATACAGTATTGCTCTAGAAACTTAAAGGAAATATAAATTTTTTTGACTATTTGAAATCACATGGAATTTTTCTTTTTTAAATTAAAAACAGAAGAAATATTATCTACAGATTTAAAAATAAATAAGAATTAAATTTATAAATTAATTTTTATTTAATTTTCAGCATTATCTAACTGTATGAGAACTTCTAAACCCTAAAAATAAAATTCAAAATTGTTTTATTTACTAAAATTTATCGATAATTATAATTATAAAATTATAATTTATTTTATTTATTATAATATACATTAGGAAATGTCATGCAGACAAAGGATTTTCCTCAATAACAAAAAAAAAACCCAAAACAAAATGTATTTAAGAATAATACAAATACGTTTATAATGACTTTTCTTATTATATTATTATGTTATTAAATATATTTCTTGTAATATATTAAATCGCTAAATTAATCGGCAAGCCCCTCGTGTTTGCTACATAATATAAATCATAGAGGTTTACATCACCCTTAATTCTCTCTTTTTCATATTTTCCAATTTATATTTAATTATTCGTTTAAAAATATAGCAAAAATAAATAGAAAAGTTATAAATTATTATGTAATATTAATTATTTAATTAATTAATTTTTATTTAGTTTTAAATATATATTTTATATGCACAACCAGACAGATATTATGAGTAAAATAATAATAAGAAAGGGCGACAAACCTAAATAATAAATGTTAAAATTTAAAAAGTATTTATTTATTTCGGCTTGAAAATAAATTCGTAAAATAAATAAAAATATATATTATTTATAAATGTAATCTTAATTGAATTGAAAATTATGTTTTTAAATCAAGAAAAAATAATATTTTAAAAGGTTTATTACTAAGTTTTATAAAATTCCCATCAAAACACAATGACTAATAATACTTGATAATAATAATAGTGAATAACACAACAGATATGACTTTTATGACAGTGACAAATTATATTAGACGTAATTTAATTTAAAATATTTTAAATTTTAAAAAATATATATGTATTTTTTCACTTATTATATAATTAGAATTATTTTTAAGTGATTTTTATTATATAAAATATTGATTTATAAGGAGATAATATTGACACGTAAGTAACCTTATTGATGAAAAATCTCAATCAAGAAAAAATTTCGAGTGATAAAGGATGATAGACACTTCGATTAGATCACAATCATTTAACTTATGTTGCCTTAATCACTAAGCAACTTTAATTATAATTAATGAATTAATTGATATACTACATATATACATTTCCATTGGGAAAATACATCTTTCCTAAACCAATTATCACTAAATTATACACCTGTAAATTAAGGTAATAAGTATATTTAACACTAGAAATCTATTCAGAACTTATGTATTGATATAATTATTTTTCAGTTAATTATAATAATATTAATTAATAAAAAAATTAATTTAAGTGGTAATTATGTACAGTACAGTACAATGTTATAAAGAGTTTAAATTGATTAACTGAACCTTAGAAAACAATTGACACGCAGATTTATAAGGATGATAATATTTAATTATTCGCATAATTTAGTAAAATTTATAAGAGCTGTCAAAGATTTGAAATGTTTAAACATTAAACTAATAAAAATTATATATATAAAATGTTATTAAAATTATATTCTGATATAAGATAGCATAAAATATTTTTAATAAAATTTGCAAAATTAATAATATATATATATATATATAAGNTTTCAATAATTTTAAAAGGAATAAGCGAAGAAGTAAAATTGGAAATGCAAGTTTATTTTATTACAATTAGAGACTTAAAAAGTTTCTTTTAAAATAATTACAATTAAAATATTCTAATTTTTCCCAATAAACGTTAAGCGGAGCGAATTAAAAGTTGGTTTTAAAATGATAAATCCTATAAAGTATGGAAATAATACTTTCAAAATATGTTTAAAGCTTAATTACAACGAATTCTCAGTTCTCGTAGGAATAATTACGTTGTTTACGCTGGTCTCATTAATATGCACGGACACGTAACATTGGAAAGACATATTAATATTAAACTTATGTATTAAACTTACTATTTATGTAAATAGTGTTTTGAAACATGATACGGAAACATATTTCATGTTTATTGGCGTTGTGTGCCAAATACTAGAACTTAACACATGACTAGGTAAGTACAGCTAATAGCAAATACTTCATTAAACTGTATCGATTGTTAATAATATAGTAAATAGCTTGCATCAATGAGAATCTAGCAATTATCGTTAAGAATTTATTAGTATGGTTAGATATTTAATTTTATACGAGTTGGCAACATTGTAGGGACTTAAAAAATATATATATATATATTATAATGTGTATTATCTGCTTAAATTCTATTATTATATTCAAGAACAGATTTATGCGTTAAAAACGTATTTTATAAACTCGAACCTGCAATAACGGCCACTCTCGGTTATGTTATCGTCAGTGGCCGTTGCTGCCAGGTTTGACTGTGGTAATTTATTCAAACAATTAGGGAAGTTTCTATAGCATGGAGAGATATAAGAAATGCATTAGAAGGAATATTAACGTATATATCATGGATTATATAGGTCTATATAGAGAAGGGAGGAGAGATAGAAAGAAATTTTAATAACTGGAATTATAAGATACCATATAATAACTGATGGAGCATAATAAAAAGAAGGTCAGAAATGACACGAGTAACTTTATAAATTTTTAAATATATCCTTTTTTATAGTTTCAAGATATGAATAAGATTCGTACGAAGATTTAGAAAACCAAGCTTAATAATTGAAATAACTTTTTATCCTTTTTTTAATAGTGATTTAATATTGATTTAAATATAAACTGAATATAAACGAAATTTTATGCTGAAATTACACGAAAATAAAGTGCAAAGTGAGTAAATTCGAATGAAGCAATAACGTGACCATTATCCAATGTTAGAAATTAGAAAAGTTTATTATTTTTATTGATTTATTGATAAGTAAAATGCATTTATTTTTAAAAATACGATCGCGGTTTCGAACAACAACTTTTAGAAGTCATCACACAAGTTATATTTGATTTCGCTGTATAATGCGCATGCAATTGATCGAGGAATTCATTTATTCTTGTATTTTTGAACTTGACCTAAATTTAAATATGGAATAATTATGTTATTTTCTATATAAAAAATTAATATATTTTTTATATTCTGTAATAATAAACATAATAATATACAGAGAAGTTTTCATCAGATTAATTATTAAATTTAATGCTGATACAATGTTTAACGAATTGAACTTAGATGCGGAATTTGGAATCAATTAACATAAAAATTTATTTAATAAATTAGAATAGAATTTACATTAAAAGTTATGATATACATTAATAAATCGCTTTAAACAGAACTAAAACTTGCAAAGTTCAATTAAGAGTAAATTGATTTCAATTTTTTTCTCGACGAAACATTTGCCAAACCATAAAATATATATATTTATGTATATATTAAGACGATTTTGATGAATTTATAATAATTACACGTTCTATATTTAATATTTCTGAAGATAAACAAGACTTATTCAGACATATGGCGCCCAATAATCTAGATGTTTGATCCATGTCAGGTGGCATGTTTTATTGCTTCATTGCTGATTGGTATAATCAAGAAAGAGATTAAGTCTATTAACGAATCGATTTAATAAATCACAAGATTCTTACTAATTTAGATCATAAAAATTATTTATATCCTATTAATTACACCTCGGAATGTTGAAATTTCACTTACTTGTTTCAAATTTCTGGTTTTATTATTAGAAATTACAATACATATTTGACTTGGAGTTCACAATAAACATACTTTTTCATTATATTTAAAAGAAATATTAATAATTTTAATATAAAATACAATAAATACTTAATTTTTAAGCTTAGAGGCATAAATTATTTAAAAATTAAATGTAAAATATTTTATTTTTCGTCTTAACTCGTGAATACTTATTAAAGTTTTATAATAAAATTTTAAAATATTAATACACAAAAGATATTTTTATACAATTTAAAATATAAAGGATTTATGCGAAATTTTTACTTTTATAATCCATAACAACATGTAACAATAAACATATTTATTCTTTGTTTAGGATTTAATAGATAAAATACTTAAACTTTAATAAGTTTCTTATATATATAATATTTAAAAACCAATATTAAAATATTAAATTTAAATAAA